GATGTGTGACCCTCAAAGGGCTTTTCTTGTCTTATCTTCCTGTTTTCATCTTTTTTGCATCTTCTGTCTCATTTCTTCATCTCCATGTACACAACCCACCATTTTTATGTACTTGATGAATTGTGATGAGCAGAACTTGCGCTGAGGGTTGCTTGTGCTGCTCATAAGGTACTTAAGTAGGTACTTAAGTGGACACATAAATGCCCGGGCGCCTAGGCTAGGCAGTTAAGGCCTTAAGTTAAGTACTTAAGTACTTAATATTAGGCCAGTTAGGTACCCGGGCCCAAATATTGGAGTTTGGAGAAAAAAAAAATTGGCCAATCAGATTGACTTGCCAAGTCATTTCTAATACTTACACCCTATTCCTAACCCAAAAATGACTTATTACATGTCATTTATTTATAGAGGTTGTGTGTATAATGTTGTGTAACTGAATTTTGTTTTTGCAGAGCGGTCATGGTTGTGACTAGACTGGATCAACTGTATATTTGGGCCAAAAAAACTATACACACAAGACTATGCACAGCTTTGAGTACCATAAATTGTGACAAGTTGATTACATATGTTTTACATATGTAGGACAGCGCTCAACAATAGTAATCAAAGAGAGAAATAGCATAAAAGACTGTGAATATGTGACTACTAACTGTAAAAGGGATATTGAAGGACTTTTGAAGGTTGATCTGGATGTATTTGTTGGTTATAAAGCTTATACAAACTTGATTGATATTATAAGGGATGAGGTACAAAAAGCAAGACAAGTACAAGGGTTTATATACCTGTCAGAACAACTGGTAAAGTGCACAGCTAAGGCAGAACAACTGCAAACTACATAAATGGGTGATCATGTGAGCAGATCAAAGATCAACTAGCTTGTTATCACGTAAATTTTCATGAGTAAACAGAACATATAGATCTTCACATGTAATAAGCTACATTGAGTATGTGTAACTTCAATCCCCATAGAATCCCTGAACAACCTTTGTAATTTGTTGTATTATAATCCATCCTGATAGCACAAGAGTCTTATACTTTTCTTCTTGGAGGTCTCCACATCTCAACAAGTTCAGTTTTAGACAAACAGCTGCCAAGTTGAGTTCCCAATCCAACTCAGTTGCTTGAACTAAGGGCAGGCTACATGGGGTTATTTTCTATAACAAACCATTCTGGATCATCTTCCATATTGATCCGGGTGTAAATTGTTTTTTGAATATTGTGGATCTTTCTGAATATGACATAGTAAGAGAAGATATAGAAAATAGAATAGACAGAAACAGAATAAATGAGTAAGAATAGAAATGAGTATTTTGTGTGCCATATGTGTAATTGGTTATCACATGTATGTAATTGTATTTAATTCTATTACAAGTGTGGTTTATTGTAATTACTACATTTAATTTATTCATATGTAATGAGTTATTATAAGGAAGAAGATATGCTGCACAGTTGATGGATCATCATCTTCCCTCACTGTAAACATTATACATCATCCACAAGTGGGAATGGGAAAATTATTAAGTGCATAGTTTGTCATACAAGGATCTACCTTGGCACACCTGAGCCATAAAACCCACACTACATATGTGCTGAAGGGTGAGTCAATAAATGGCTTTCACGTACATACAAGTCTGCTCAGTTGTCTGCCCTACTAAATAAGTAAATCACATGTGATACATCATGCAATGTTTTTCACTTTGACAAAATTGTGCCAAAAATTGAGTACATATACCTTCATAGCTACTTGGGCAATACTCTTGTAGCCATTTTTCAGTAACAGAAAGGGTGTTACATAAAGTGCTGTCGATGAAATTACACCAAAGCTTTCAGTCGGTGTATGTGGCCAATTTTTGGAATGCTTGTGTCACACTGAAAAAAGTTACAGCATGTTTTACATATGATTCAATTATCCAGATGAGCTGATAACTGAGCAAATCTGTATGTACATGATAGCCACTCATTCACTCAGCCTGCTCCATGTATGTAGTGTGGGTGTTATGGCTCAAGTGTGCAGTGGTAAGTTGTTTTATTACAAACTATACTCTTAATATCTTTTCCATTCCCACTTGAGGAGAAATTGAATGTATAATTTTTACAGTGCCTCCCTCCTGACTTCTCTTCTTCCACTTTCACCTTCAACCACCAGCCCTCCTCCTTTGTTGTTTGAGCTCAACTTCCAAACCATCCTTGGAAATATCAGACAGCATGCTTTGAGCCAAGAAGGACCCAAACGCCCCAAAGTGTACAAAGGCAAACTCAACCAATATCAAGATTTGATTTGCACTCAATAAATTTTTAACTCAAAAAGAGGATGGTGATATGATTGGTGAAGACTGGAAACCAATTGCTTACACCAATGTCCATACTTGATATAATCTTGCATATCCAAAAGACATGATGTCAAAATGTATTCAATTTGGTGGGTTTATCTTTTTATCTTTGCATTCATTGTTCCTTCACTCAAGATCAAATTCCAAATCAAATCCCCATTTCAACCAATGTTGTTTTTCTTTTTTCTTCAGCTATTGATTCAGAACAAAGATTCTTATACTGTAATCAAAAGAGTCAAAGGAGACCCTGGAATTGGATGTGTGGTTGCAAGATCAACATGCCAGATGAATGGTGGGAGTTGGGACACTGGAGGCAAGGTCAGTTGTTGCATCTGGTATTCTGCTTGATATCAATCTATCTGACCTTTGGTTTGATATTTCCTAGGATTATAAGGATGCCATGAAGCTCCAAAATAAATAATTTGACCTGTATGATGAGATGGATGTGTTCCTTCATGCATCTAAACCGGCTGGGGCTTTATGTACTGGAATGAATTCTGATTCGCAAGTCAAGGCAAAGGAGGTTCAGGAAGTGAAAATAATGATAGTAGATCAAAAGCATTTAGAAGACAAGCAATATTGTGAAGTGTTTGGAGAAGGATCAACTCACAAAAAAGACATGCTGAGGATTATCCTCAAGTAGTCAAAGTTTTGGATAAATAGCTGATTGAAGAAGACAAAAACCTTTCAAGTGAAAAAGGAAAGGTAAATCAATCAGGTCATTAGTAGCAATTTTTTTCTGTTTTTCTATTTTTATACAAGTGTAACTTGTGATACCATTGGTATCAATGGAACAGACTCAGAATATCTCAAGCATTAAACTCCAAACAGAACTATTACTATCTCTACCATCAAAAAGAAGATCTCAAGCCTTTGACTTTGAAAAAGCCTACTCCTGTCTCTAATGTCAAAAAAGACAACACCAGCTTGGAAGGTCAATCCTGTGACACTTGCAACTGTGATTGCTTCAGCTTTAATTGATGTGGTTTTCAAGGCTAGAGCTGCACTCAAGCTTGACAATAAGAAGGCAGCTTGCTCAGCTGACATCAATCAAGCTATCACCAGTATCTCACATCAAAGCCAACAAGCTTCCACACTTACAGAAGGCTTTGGATATCTTCAACATCAAGAGTGAAACCCAATTTCCTGATGTAAACAATTGTGTAATGGTGACTGATGTGATATCAGAGTAGCTTAAAGCTGAAGTCCAGTGGTCTGTATGAACAGATGTGCTGTGTTTGGCTCAAATTACAGGTGAATGCTATCAGGGTGGCTAGAAAAAAAAGGATGACCTCAATATTGTTCAATCAGATTAAATTATGTCTTGTCATTACTCAAAGCAACAACTGCAATCAAAATCCCAATTGACTCAAATGATACAAGTATGATGTGTTTTAGTTTTGGTACAAAAATCACATGAAATGTGTGTTTTCTCTTTTCTATAAAATTAAGAATAGTTTTGCATGTGTTTTATCAATGTTATTAAATATGTTGGTGGTGAATGAAATAAGAATAACAATTGTGCTTTATGTTTTTTAAAAATACCTTTGTTTACCTAGTGAGAAATAAAATAATCATAAGAGGATGATATAGTCAGTATATCGAATTTGAGAGAATCAAGAAGAGTCTGCTTACAATATTCTAATCAATGATGATTTATGTGAGATTGATAATGAGTTCACATCCTTATTGCAACATCATCTCTAAAATCATCTGCAGTACCTTGGTCATTTCTTACCACAGGCACAAATTTGTCTTGAGCTTTACAGACCCATGCTCAATTTTACTCATGTTGTTATTCATTGAATTCTTTGAAAGACTGATCCTCACCACCCTACATGATGAGGTTGTGAATCACAGCAATGGCCACAACAATTCTTTCTTGCCAAAGTATAGGGAATCTGTGCATCAAGACTAGAATTACAAATCTAATCTTTCAGACACCAAAGTCTTGTTTGATGATCATTTGAATTCGTGAGTGGCAATTGTAAATGATTCTTGATGGTTTTGTGGTGTGGGGCAACCTTGATCCCACTCATAGATGTGGTAGCAAAAGCCACATTATGTCCAAATTGCAACTCAGAATGATTTTTCCGTCCACCACTATTCTACTTGCAACTTGAGAATTGCTCTTGTGGTAGGTGAAAAGGTATTATCAAACGTTGTAAAAGACCAGTCTTGAGTTGTAGGTGCTGCATCATGACCAAAATTGGATGTGACTGCTTTATTTCTAGCACCTACCTATGCAAAGCTGGAGGTAGGCGCCTATTTTCTCAAACACATGGATTTGAAAATGTAGGCACCAGAAAAAAACACCTACATCCTTTCTGGGTATGTAGGCATCAGAATGGAGCACCTACATGGTAGCACTTGTTTTTTCACTTGTGTTTGTGATTTATTATAGGGCGATCACAGATTTGATAGACAAATAATTATGGATTTTGAATGAATGATGTGGACCCCCTATAGTAAAATTGGTTTAGTAGTTGCTAAGTCACTTATATTTTTATCTGATTTTCATATCACCTTGTTTGGCTTCTCTTTGGCATGTTTGCCCTTCCATGCTTTCTCTAGTGTATTTTTCTCAGCTTGAAATTTGTTGTTTTTGACAACATATAAGTGAAATACCCTACTGGGGAATAAACATTGATAGAACATGTATGTTACATAAGAAGGAATTTTGTGCGTCTTATATGCACTCAAAATCAGACATATTTGCAAACAACAAAAGTACTGCATCATGCAGTACTGATACTGAAAGTTTTTCAGCATCAAACCTACAGTATACAGATATATAGAAGGGAAAAGATGCTACTCTACAGAGAAACCAGCACGGGTACAATACAGACCAAGAGAAAAATGCTACTAGTCAAACAAGGGCTTTGAAAATGCTACAAAATTTTATACTTGGAAGAAGTCCCTTCCCTCAGGTTAAACCCAACGCTTGTTATTTCTTTGAATTGAGCTGGCTCTGAATGAATTTATGAGAAGTGAGGATTTAGTCAAATCAAGGGTGGTCAAAAAAAAGAACATCCAGCAGCTTACTTGGATATACTTTGAGGATATGCAAACACGTTTTGAGGGTCGTAAGCAGACTTGATTTTTGTCAATCGCTGATAACTATATCAATAATTACAATACCTTCAGGAAATTTGTTCAAACACATGCAGATGCTTCATACTCAACTGTGTGTTGTAATAGAGATTCTTCCACTGAGTTGCAGACAACCGATCATCAACGTAATTGGCATAGGCGCTAAAGAGTCAAATATAGGGGTGAGTATTTCAGTTCCATGTTTCCTTGGAGGATGTAGCCCTGAGGTAAATGCTGATTGCTGACCCGTATGCCCATCCAGAAGGGTTGCTGTTAACAATTTTTGATACCATTTGATCTAGGAAGGTTAATCCTGCACTTGGGAACGGTGGCGCGTAGTTTCTGGATGAGGCGTAGAACTACTTAGCCGCATGAAACATTGTTAAAATCTTCAGGCTGCCAAAGTCTTATGAGTCCTTACAGTGGTAGATGGCTTACTTGAATAGTCCACAATATGGAACGTTGTGCAAACGCCGTCGCATCTTTTGCTACGGCGGTGATAGCAGAGTTCTGACCGCCATAAAGGATGAATTGGACAAACCATTTCTTTATAGTGTAGAGCGCTGTGATTAGCAAACAGAAGCATGTGTCATATGAAGAAACCGTTGCATACTGTATCTGTTTTCCATCCTTCCGACGAGAGGTATTTCGAGAAAGCTTGGATAGAAGAATTTGACATGGGGGCTGATTGTGGAGTTGTCAAAGACTTGGCATAGAAAGTGTCATGCTCCGCTGATAAGTCCACGCCTGTGTAGGGGAAGAAAAGCGTCAAATCCATCAAATCCAATGTGTTACTCTAAGCTGTGTAAAATAAGGCTTACCGGAAGTTGAAAGCGCTTGCGAACCAGCTAGACCTTGCAAGATGGTAAGCCAATTGCTCTTCTTCACGGTCCTCTTTCTCGGTGCTGGCTAAACGTTCTCAAGGGTACATGTGTCAATAGGAAAACTAGATGCTCCTGTGTTGTTGTGAGCTTACCATCACATTCAAAAAGGGCTGAATGACAGCCGGGAACTTTGAGCTATCACCATACCAGACCCCATACAGAGCGAAATTCAAACGTCCAGACTGGCTCCCTCGTCCTAAATCGGCTTCCACTCCAAGTTCGGCCGGTAGGTTAGACCGACAAAAGGTTTGAAATTTGATCAACGCGTTTGCAAAGCCATTTGGATCAAAATCCCATTGGATGTCAAACTTGGTAGGGTGGCTAGGGGCGGCATAGGTTCGAAACTTCATTGATGTCACGACACCGTACGAGGCTCCTGCACCTCTCAAGGCCTATCAACGTGTCACGCTGTCTGAGCAATCATCTTCCAGATGGGGCGAATGAAGGATGCAAAGCCTCGTGCCACTTACCCAGAAGAGGTCTGAATTGGTACTTTGCGATGCTTGAATGATGGTACCGTTTGCGAGTACCACTTCTTGGCTGATGATATTGTCCGAGGTCAAACCCCACATCCGACTTGTGGGACCAAAACTGAAAGCCAAGGGGCGCGAGAACATATGGTCAGGCCACAATGTGCTTCATGGTCTCTTTGCTTACCGGTCGACTTACCCCCCGAATGCCGCGTGGCCCCCAATACCGACGTACGGACACGTACCATGGGGAATTGCGCGGCCACCTTGAGAATGCAATCTGATAGCTACATCACCTAATCGATTTCCGGTTCCAATAACAGCTTGACCTGTTGACTGATTGACAGAGACCTTATTGATTCGCGAGAGATCGACAACTAAGGCTCCATCAGTCCCTCCCAAGCCATATGCAGCGTACGAATGTCCACCGGAGCGAGGCGAGACTATGAGAAACAAACAAAAAAACCATTTAAGCTCCGAAATTGTGGTTCATAGACATCCATCACAACATGAGCTCACCTGGAATTTTTGCTTCAACAGCTGCTTTGACGGAATCGGACACAGCTTTTGTGTTATTAGGGAAGACAACGGCAGCTGGCATATATGTCAGGCGCTTGTTAAAAGGTGTAGCAAATTTTTTATACGATGGATCTCCTGGAAAGACAGCGTCGATTCCTAACTTGGAGAATGTTGCTCGCAAAGAAGCAGTATCTGCTCTAACAGAGCACAGGACACTCAAAGCGCAAGATACGGTAAACAAAGAGCGAAGCATAATCTTGAAGTGTTGAATCCCACAAGTCGAGTCTTGGAAGTTGTAAGTTCAGGAGGTGGGATTACAACAATGATTTCTCACAAGAAGTGAGAAGGCGACGGCCTTATATGCCTGATTTGCACCATCTCTCCAGCTAACAGGGTAGGTCGTTTGGGCAGTTTATACTTTTTATACTTTACACATCACCGCGACCTTGCGGTGATCATTGGCTGCCAAAGGAGATGGTCTTGGCTTCATCGTGAAGGTGAGCGGGGCTGCTGTACATATGATGAGTAAAGTTTGACCATCTGACCCTATCAGAATCTGAGCTCTCTAGCTCTGGTGACTATGTAGGCTGGACGCTTTCTGGGTTTCGAGAGAGATTTACCGTGATATCGGCTGTTAATGGCCCAAATTAACCAACAAAAGACTGATATTGAAGTTCTTCGAAACTCTGTCAGTATGTATGATACGTATGTAATCCCTGCTTCACCTTTACTCCTGGGTTATACGACGAGACGATCACATGGTTCAAAGCAGACAGATCGAGTAGGTCGCCACAGGTAAAGAAAAATCAAAAGAACAAAGAGGCCTGTAATTCTTTGTGAGCAGGAAATCTTTAGAGATGTGAAGCATGGAAATGATCAAAGATCTGACAGAAAATATGATATGTTTAGATGTTGATCGCACTCAGCAGAAGAAATCCTGTATATTTAGTTCTCTGATCAAATTGGCCACATTAACTTTGTTTCTCATAATCTGCGATCCTTTATATTGTGGTTCCTTTCGATAATATATCATTCCATTCTTTAGATGAAGTCTGATCATTATCATTATCAGATATTGTGCTTTCTGAAAATTGTACACCAGTCCATGCTTAAGACCGAACACGTCTTAAATGCTATGAAATTTTTATGTTACATGAGAGAAATTTATCTCTTCATCTTAAACCCAACGTTTGTTTCTTCGTGTTGAGCTTGCCCTAAATGAAGTTTTGAAATGTGAGCATAAGATCAATGCTAAATGATCAAGACAGTTCAGATAATCAAAAAACAAAATACCTACTCAGTTATACTTTGAGGATATGCAAAGACGTTTTGAGGGTCGTAGGCAGACTTGATTTGCGTCAATCGTTGATAACTATATTAATAATTACAAGATGTCAGAAAGTGTGGTTAAAAACACGGAAGCGTTCAATACTCAACTGTGTGTTGTAGTAGAGATTCTTCCACTGAGTGGAAGTCAAGCGATCGTCGACGTAATTGGCATAGGCACTAAAGAATCAGGGATATGGGTGAAAACTTGAGTTTCACTCTCTTTGAAGAATGTAGCTTCCGTAGCAATAGAATGCTGACCCGTAACCCCATCCAGAAGGATTGTTGTTTACAATGCTCGAAACCATTTGATCTAGGAATGTCAACCCTGCACTGGGGAAAGGTGGCGCATAGTTGCTAGATGAGGTGTAAAACTAGGCACCAAAAATAAGATGATATTTAGACGGTTAACAATTTAGAATGAGTTCCTAAATCGCTCACTTGAATAGTCCACAAGATGGAACGTTGAGCAAATGCCGTCGCATCCTTTGCTACAGCAGAGATAGCTGAATTCTGACCACCATAAAGCTCGAACTGGACAAACCAATTCTTCATAGTGCAAATGATTCTTGATCAGCAAAACTAAGGAGAAATCATACGCAGAAATCTAGTAAATACCGTATCTGTTTTCCATCCTTCCGATGAGAGATACTTTGAGAAAGCTTTGATAGAAGAATTAGACATTGGCGTTGACTGTGGAGTTGTCAAAGACTTAGCATAGAAGGTATCATGCTCCGCTGATAAGTCCACGCCTGTGTAGGGGAAGAAAAAACGGCGTCAAATCGGAAGTTAAGTGAGCGGTGTTGAAGAAAAGGCTTACCCGAAGTTGAAAGCGCTTGCGAGTCAGCCAAACCTTGCAAGCTGGTGAGCCAGTCGCTCTTCTTTACGCTCCTCTGGCTCGGCGCTGGCTGAAGATTTCAAAGGTATATGCGTTAATAGAGGACTAAATGTTCATACAGGCTATAAGCTTACCATTGTATCCAAAAAAGGTTGAATGACTGCCGGAAACTTTGAGCTGTCGCCATACCAGGCTCCAACCAGGGCAAAGTTCAGGCGTCCAGATTCGCTCCCTTGTCCCAAAGTGGCGTCCACTCCAAGTTCAGTTGTAC